TTTTAGCTTTCTTCTAATAGTTAACAATTATTTGATCTTCAACTGAGTCCCAAGACTCAAATACATAATAAATAGCATTCTTAATATTGATTTTTTTTCTAATTAAAAGGTATATTTTTCTATCAATTCATGTAATTTTTGTCTATATTCTAGAAGGGAAGATAATAGTGTACTTTTTACTTCTCTATGCAACTGAAAATTCTTAAGATTATTACGTCATTTAAATTTATGAATCCATCTATTTAAAAATGTCAAAGCATTATTTCCTAAATTCAAGGCTTTTACAAAATCAACTGCCTTTTCCTTAATCATTAATTCTGTTATAATCATGTCACTGTTAGTAACTTGTTCAATCTAGAGTATCATTGCTTGATCTAATAAAGGATATTTTACAGGTTTATGCTGAAAAATTGTGGAACTTAATTGATCATCTGTTACAGCTAACTACCTTGATTTATTTTTTAAAATTTTAGAAATTGTAAACTGATCTAAATTTAAATTAGAATTTTTGGAATTGAAGTGCTTAGCAATATCTGTTTGTTTTTCATTGGGATTTTTTTGACTATACTTGTATATCTCTCATTTTAAAGATTCACTAACAGCTATTCTTGGTCTTTTTTGTGACAAATTGATAAATATTTTAAATAATATTGCAAGTAGGATAAAGCATCTAAAATTATAGCACTTTATTAAATAGTTGCTTTTATATTTAAAATACAATAAATCATAATCATGTTTACAAATCTTTAGCATATTTATAATAATTTGATCAAATTTTTTTTTTTAAAAAAAAAAACTATATTTGGTGTTTACATAATGATAAAAGATAAGTCTCTTTCAAAATGCATAATATTACTTTACTTATACTTAATTTACAAGCATTCTGGTTTCTAACATGTTATTACTGTTTGTAGTCAAATTTTATGATTATTATGCAATAAACATTTTAACGATTTATGCAGAGATGATTAAGATCTTTAAATCTCAAATTTATACGATCCATGCAGGA